CTAGAAAAGATCATCCTGGGTGAGGTATCCCAGAAGCAGAAATACACAGATGGTATATATTCACGTATAAGTGGATTTTAGACATATAATATAGGACAAACATAGTAAAATCTGTACACCTAAAGAAGTTAAGCAAGAAGATGGACCCTGGGTAAGATGTTCAATCCTAATTTAGAAAGGCAAATGTGATGGACATTGGAAGAAGGAGAAAACAGGGTACAGGGCAGGAGCCTACCACAGAGGGCCTCTGAATTAGTCTACCCAGCAGGGTATTAAAGCAGATGCTGAGACTCATAGCCAAACTTTGGGCAGAGTCCAGGGAATCTTATGAAATAGGGGGAAGATAGAAAGACCTGGAGGGGACAGGAGTTCCACAAGGAGAGCAACAGAATCAAAAAAACCGGGCACTGATACTTCAACCAAGGACTGTGCGTGGAGATAACCTAGAACCCCTGCACAGATGTAGCCCATGGCAGCTCAGTCTCCAAATGGGCTCCCTAGTAAGGGAAACAGGACTGTCTCTGATATGAACTCAGTGACTGGCTCTCTGATCACCTCCCCCTGAGGGAGGAGCAGCCTTACCAGGCCACAGAGGAAGACAATGCAGCCAGTCCTGATGAGACCTGATAGGCTAGGTCATATAGAAGGGGAGGAGGACCTCCCCTATCAGTGGACTGGGGAGGGACATAGGAGAAGAGGAGGGAGGAAGGGTAGGATTGGGAGGGGAAGAGGGAGGGAGCCACAGCTGGGATACAAAGTGAATAAACTGTAATTAATAAATTTAAAATTAACAAAATTCTATTAGTTTATTTACTTTAAATTTTGATGGTGCCCCTCCCTCCCTAACTCCAAGTTGCCCCCCCATATTCCTCCTTCCCCCTTCGCCCTTCTCCTCTCCCTTTTACCACCAGAAAAATGGAGCCCCCTACCATGTATTAACCTTCCCCAGCCAGGGGAGGAGAAGAGGGAGGGAGGGCAGGATTTGGAGGCGGTGAGGGAGGGGACTACAGCTGGGATACAAAGTGTATAATTGTAACAAATAAAAAAAAGAAAAGGAAAGAAAAAATAATTGCCATCAAAAGCCTAATGGAAAAACTTTTAAAGGTTTTTTATTTTTATTTGATGTGTACAAGTATTTGCCTGAGTATGTGTGTATTGAGTGCAAGAAGGACCCACAGAAGCCCAGAACATGGAACCTATCCCCTGTAACTTCAATGGTTTTAAGATGCCATGTGCACGCTGAGAAAAACACATCCTCTGCAATGAAGCAAGTGCTCTTAATCACTGGGGCGTCTTTCCAGCCCATAGTGGGAATTTTTGAATTTTTTCATTTATTACAATTTATTCACTTTGTATCCCAGCTGTAGCTCCTCCCAACCCTGCCCTCCTTCCTCTTCTCCTCCCATGTCCCTTCCCCAGTCCACTGATAGGGGAGGATCTCCTCCCCTTCCCTCTGACCCTAGCCTATCAAGTCTCATCAGGACTGTCTGCATTGTCTTCCTCTGTGGGCTAGTAGGGCTGCTTCCTTCAGGGGGAGGTGATCAAAGAGCCAGCCCCTGAGTTCATATAGAGACAGCCTCTGTTCCCCTTACTAGGATATCCACTTGGAGACTGAGCTGCCATGGGCTACATCTGTGCAGGGGTTCTAGGTTATCGCCATGTGTGGTCCTTGGTTGGAGTATCAGTCTTAGAAAAGACCAAATGGGCCCAGATTTTTTATTCTATTGCTCTCCTTGTGGGAATTTTTATAGACATTAATAAGATCATTCTAAAATATACGTGGAAAGAAACTGAAATAGGCAAGATAATTTTGTAAAAGATTTATTTATGCATTTTATGTATATGGGAGTTTTGTCTGCATGTATGTCTGCACATCAGAAGAGGGCATTGGATCCCACAAAACTATAGATTATAGATGATTGTTAGCTGCCAAATGAGTGCTGGGAATTGAACTCAGGATCTTGGAAGAACACTCAGTGCTCTTAACCACTGAGCCAGTTTTCCAACCCTGGCAATACAGTTTTGAAAGAAAATGCAATTGGAAGATTCCTATCATCTGGTATCCAGAACAGTTTTACTTCTGCTGGAGTTAGGAAGTGTGGTAGTGTGGATATGCCAGGCAAAATTTGGAGAATTCAGGATGAAAAACTTACAAAACCTTGAAGAATGGATCAGTAAGATGGCTTAGTAGGTAAACGTGTTTGCCACCAAACTTGGCAACCTGAGTTTGATACCTAGGATTCACATGGTAGAAGAAAAAATGGACTCCCTCAAGTTGTCATTTCACTTCCCCAAGCATGCCCTGGCACACACACACACACACACACACACACACACACACGCACAAACATACACACACAGACACACCATGCATAAATAAATGTAAAAATAATTTAAAACCTTGGAGGAACTATAAAAGGCAAATATTTGTGACCTTAGGATAAAGAGTTTCTACATGTAACACCAAAATCTCTTTTATGCGGCTTTTAAGATTTACTTATTTATTTATGTAGTATTCCGCCTGCATGTGCAGGCTGCAAGAGGACATCAGATCTCATTATAGATGGTTGTGAGCCATCAGGTGGTTGCTGAGAATTGAACTCAGGACCTTGGGAAGAACAACCAGTGTTCTTAATCTCTGAGCCATCTCTCCAGCCCCGACACCAAAATCTTGACCAAAAAAAAAAAAAAAAAGAAAGAAAGAAAGAAAGAAAAATTGATAAACAACTTTATTAAAAATCAAGCACTTCCACTCTGTACATCACCCTGTCAAGAGAATAAAAAAATAAAATAAAATAAAAAAACAAGCCACAGACTAGGAGAGAACTTTCATAAATTTCACATGTGACAAAGGACATGTGTCCAGAACGTGTAACGAATCTAGACTAAATAGTAAGAAGGCAAAAACTGTGGCTGTGTATGTGCAAAGAACTCAAAAAGTTTAGTAAATATGATACACAGGCACAGAAAAGAGATGCTTAGCACCCTTCATCGAGAGTTCAAACCATGAGATTCCAGCACACACTCACCAAAATGACTTCAAGTGAGAAAGATAAAACCAGGGCAAACCCCAGGACATGAAGCAGTGGGAACCCTCTGAAACCAACTTTAGCCTTGTAGTTTAAATTTTTTGCCCTGGAAATGAAAGAAAGACACACACACACACACACACATATCATATCTAGTTCCAGACAAAGCATGGTCTGAAGACATAGAGGGGATTTGGAGGTGCTGGGGGAGGAGTAGAGGCAGGTGATGAGGTGTCAGGGTTTGGAGTGGGATTTGGGTAAAGGTGTGGAGCCTCAAAGGGAGGTTTGCAGAGGGAAGTGCAGATGGAAGGTAAGACAGGAGGTGTAGAGGAACGGGTACTCTGGTTAGGACTTGGGTCAGACAACCTAAGTGTCCTGGATGCTATACATACAGTCTGTGTATTACAATTAAGTACAAAAGTTGAAGGGGGATGTTTGAGTCTTGGTTTTTTTAATAAATCTTAATTTTGATATTTAAGGGGGGATGCCAGCCATCTTTTTCTAAGAATAAAATTCAAACCAGGATGCACATTAAAGTGCATTAAAGCTCCACTTTTACTAGCAGTAATAGAAAGCAATATTAAAAAAAAAGTAATAGTACTTAAGAATGTGGTTTCTAGCACTTAATGGTAAGTGACAAAGTTGTACATATTTCTTCAACTAAAGGATAGTGTTCCCCAAAGAGAGATTTCAGTTCTATTGGGGCCCACCCACCCTGAGCCACAAATTGCTGAAACCAGATCTCAGGCTATTCTGAGCCAGCATAACTGCTTCTATGTGTGGGCTCCTTAGAGTATGCAACTCCTGTGTATTTTTTCTAAATTTTTTATGATTCATTTTTATGTGCATTGGTGTTTCGCTTATACGTATGTCCGTGTGAGGATGTCACACCTCCTGGAACTAGAGGTACAGACAGTTGTGAGCTGCCATGTGGGTTCTCAGAATTGAACCAGGGTCCTCTAGAAGAACAGCCAGTGCTCTAACCTCTGAGCCATTGCTTCAGCCCATCCTGGGTACTCTTTTAAGGGTAGAATTTATAAATTCATCAAATCTAAACTCTTTATCAGAGTTAACAGAACTCAGAGATGCTGTCTCACTCAAGCCCCAGCCCCCCCCCCCTTAGGCACCCCTGGTGCTCCCAGAACTACTGGATGCTGTGGGAAATGCAGAGTATACCATGTCTCAAAGTTGCTCGTGGCTAAGGTAGACCCAGAGGACTGTTCTTCAACTATAGTTCACATGGACTGGCTAAGAAGGGTGGAGTTAGAAGAGCATAAAAGGCAAGGAAAGCCAACAAAAAGGCCATCTCAGCCATTAGGCAGGATGCAGACACCCACTGGGAAGGCAGGTAAGTCCAAGCCAACCTTCTGAGGATGGAACCAGGCACCTGGCTATCCATTATTCTCTTCTTCCTGTACATGTGCATGTGGTTGAAATTTTAAGAGGTAAGAGGGTGTGGCTTCACCCTGAAAGGTTCTGTGCCCTCTATGAGTCCTCAATATTTCCAGTCTCTCTTTTACAGAAGGCGCAGACAGAGATGGTGTCTCAAATCTGACTGATGAGGAACGGAGAGCTAGCCCTTTCCTGCAGCCATTCAGTAGTGAAAAGTGGGGAAATACCAGGGCCTACCATCTATACAGCCAAAAGATGCTCACCCAGGGCCGGGCCCGGCGATGATGGGGACAAAGGAATACAACCCTGCCCTACGTCATATTCCTACTAATTCCGCTCTTCTTGTTCCAGGCCTCAGCCCTCACAGACTGTTCAGTTGTGATCATCTTCTGGGATGTCAGAGACCAAGCCTGAACATCTCAAAGAAATCCTGGCACCAAAGAATCTTGGGGTTCACCTCAGATGTGAAAATGTCATGAGACATTTTGGTGTCTTTCAGCCTCTTCTCAGGAAACATACACACCAAACAAACAAACAAACAGCATGACTGTGTGGGGTTGCAGTGACATGTGCGCTTACCTCCAGCAACAACCGTCCTTCCTGCACAGGGCACTCTCTGTGTGGATGGTCTTCTGCTGACAGGGATGGAGCTGGCCAGACACATGTCTCTCTCAAGGCTGTGAGGGAAGAGCGAACAGATAAGCAGAGCCCAGGCCTGGCAGTGGCTCTCAAGTCACGTTTCTTGTGTTTCCCTGACTTTTACCCCCTTGTTCCTGCTATATGTCCTACTTGGGCTGTGTTCTCTGTGGAATATTCAGGGTTGTCATGATGTCCTAGAAAATTGTATGATTGGCAGGAGGAGCCAGTTGAAGTCCCAGGCCAGCATAGAGGAGTGACCTACGGTAGAAATGTGCCCAAACTCATGTACTACCCTGCCTCATCTTGAAAACTGCTCTTGATTCTCCCATATACCCAGTCTTGAGGCAAAACATGGCTTCCTACCAGGTTTCCTCCAGGAACAAGGATCCAATACCAGTGGATCCCAACAGTGCTCATGGGTGGTTATCCTTTGAAAGGAAGCCCGTCATCTGCTTCCAGCCAAGCCAAAGGCCCTGAGTCCACCCATCTCCCATATTATCATCTTCCCTGAAAGGAGCAGGCCAAACGCCCTCATCTGGAAGTAAACGAAATCCCCTGAGGATGCTCACCAAAAACAAAAAACCTCCTAAGCCTATGAAGATACCCACCTCACTGGTACTCCTATTGAAGTCTGTTTTGATGGCTTTGGGATGCAAAGCTCAAGGTTCTCTTACTAAGCTGAATTCTAGTCTGTGGCAAGCTGACCCCACCTTTACTATCCAGGAGACCCAAGCCCAGCCCAGACAAAAAGTCCCATTGTTGAGGACCACGGCACTTTTGTTTGTTTGTTTTATGGTTGTTTGAGGCAGGGTTTCTCTGTGTAGCCGTGGCTGTCCTGGAACTTGCTCTGTAGACCAGGCTGACCTCGAACTCTCAGAGATCTGCCTCTCAATTGCTGGGATTAAAGGGTGGCATGTGCCGCCATCACCTGACGATCATAGCATTCTTAAAAGTACTCTCATTGCCTGTTGACAGTTCACCTCATGCTGAAAAGAATGGGTTTGCTGAGCTGAGCTTATTCTTCAGAAATAAAAGTAATATTTGAATCAAAGTTCCATTATTTTTGTGTCATGTCGCTTGCCCTTGGCAATCCCTGATGCCCAGGAGTGTTTGGCAAATCCTTGTCTAGGATCTGAACCTTATTGTGACTCCACACCTCCCTTTCTGAGTGGTTCCTGCCAGTCTACCGTCAGCTGGTCCCACGAAACTGAACTCCCCCTTTTCTGGAGCTCCCGGCATCTCCAGAGCTTTGAGGCATCCTTGGAACGTGATAGTTTTCAGGCTCCCAGGCAACTCTACAACTCTGGGATCCAGATAATGTTTAACACCCTGCCCCACCCTCGGACAGATCCACACTTGGCCCTCAGAGTTAGCCTTTCTAGGTTCACCCAAAGCTGTTGTTTCTGCTGGCTTGCAGCTCCATTGCTCAGGAAGTACATGGAATCTTCAGACAGTCCTGCCCACACGCAGGCGTTTTTGCAAGGATAAAGGGCCCTGTGCAACAGGCCACCCTCCACAGGGGAGCCCAGGGGGCTCTGACCCCAAGGGCAGTGACATGACATTTGGTACCTGGTCTCTTTCTCTTCCTTTCTCAAAAGCCACCATTTCTCACCCTTGTCTCACCCAACTAGTGAGACTGGGTTTTGCTTTCACGGGCAGTAAGTGAAGAGGTACCATTTTGCTAGTCAGAGCTCAGACCCTTCCTGGGAAATTTGAGCACCTAACCCTAACCCTAACCCTAACCCGAACCCGAACCCTAACCCTAACCCTAACCCTAACCCTCTAGGGCAGCGGTGCTCAGCTGTCCTAACGCTGCAACCCTTCAGTACAGTTCCTCATGTCGTGGTGGTCCCCCAACCATAAAAATAATCTTTGTTGCTACCTCATAACTGTAAGTTTGCTGCTATTATGAATCATAATGTAAATTTTTAGGGGTATAGAGGTTTGCCAGATGAGAGGTCACTAACCACAGGTTGAGAAACGCAACCAAGGGGCGGAGCCAGACTCCTTGACGCCTCCCCACCAGGCCTCCTTCACCAGTTATCTCCCCAGTCTGGGCCTCCTTCACAGAAAGCATTGAGCGGCCTCAGAGGGGTCCAGTTTATCCGTTCCCTCTTAGGGATCTGCTCTGCTTCCCCTGTGAAGATAGGGAACTGAGAGACTAGCAGCCACGCGGAGGCGCTAGAGCCCTTGCAGGGCATCCCATACCTCTGCACAAAGTGCCTTGGAAACTGCAAGCGTGAAATGAGCTGCTGTCCTCCTGCTTGGGGATGAGGGGTGGGTGAGGAGGAGAACAGGACAGCAAAAGATTCTGCCTGTGTGGGCCCCCTAGAAACCAAGGCACTAGCCGGGTGGATTCCCAGCGGATGGCTTCCGGATGGCGGAGGAGCAATGTTCCCAGCACCGCAGAGATCGCACAGGGTTTCCAGAGGACTTAAGCTAGGATAGCTGAGGGGTCAGTACGCCTCAGCCACTGAGGTGGAGGTTTGAGGGAAACTAAACCACTTGAGCACAACCCAGATTTGGAGCAAATCCACAGCATCTCCCTGCTCCAAGCCCTTAAACACAGCTCCGCCTCTGAGCGCGGCTAGGTCCAGCCTAGGCTGAGCTCCTGGGACTCCGCCACCCCCATCGCGTGCCTGGCGCCTCCGGCTTCCTCCTGCGGCCACAGGCGTCACGCGATGGCTGCGATCGCGTGCGAGCGAAAGGGGCCCCACCCGGTAGGCGCGGGGGTAGATTGGTTGGGGGCCTCGACCCGATGGAAAGGGATAGAGGTGTGGCCGGAGCCTGGGGTGGGACCGAGATGGGAGGGGGTTGGATTGTTGCACCTCTAGGTGGTGTCCTGTAACTCCAGCCTGCGATGTCAGTTAAGAGTTGTGTAGGCCACTGGGGGCCCACAAAGCGGAGCTAGAGGGCAAATGTGTAAGGGCCAACAAAGGAGTGCGGTGAACCCACCCGACTTTCTTTATGTCCCCCACCCACCCTCACCCCGATCCTGGGCCTTCCCCTCCCCAGCCGGCTTCTAGAGCAGTGAACAGGAAACTTAACTCTCCAAGGTATCAACCACTACAAGTTTCTATCAGCTCTGCTGAGGCCACTGACAAGAAGAGGGACCTGCTGGGGCTGCTCACTCGGAAGTTAGCTGGATTCCTGTGCCCACCTCGACCTAAATCCACGGTTTCCTGGCAGCCCAGTCCTTCCCTCACAACTTTAGGTGCAGGCAGAGCGGTAGGATTCTTCGCCAGGAAACTCAGTCACTTTTAAGAGTCACTTTTCGAGGAGTCCCCAGTTGGTCACAATAAACTGGAACCAACGAATCTTTCACTTCTCTTATTTCCTGCAACCCTGAAGTAGTTTATTTGGAACAGCAAGAATTTGAAGAGTTACCATGGAGACAGCTGAAATTGCTACACACAGCAATGCAAGGAGTGCAGGCTACCCTGAACACCCAACTTCCTAGAAGTAGGACCCCATCTGTGGGTGCTAGGCACACAAATTCTGAACTGACTGCTGGGGGCCAGTTCAGGCAGATGTTCTCTGCTGAGGAGGAACAAGAAGCCTGAACCATCGCTGCTCCTGGGTGGTGCTGTACTGCCTGAAAATGCCTTTCCCTCAGCCCCGTGATGCCAGTTCCCACTCAGGTTAATGTGTCTAACCAGTGGGCCGGCCTTTCTTATAGTTACTTTCTCCCTGGACCTGCTGTGGTCAGAAACGAAGCCTGAGCAAGCCAGGGCTAACCAAGCCAACTGGAGCAGAGATGTTCCAGAATTTTGGCTAAAGTTTCCTGAGTGTTTACAAGGCTAAGTAAAGTTTATTTTAGATTGTCAATAGATAGAGATGTCGGTCCCAGGCAGAGCAGGACAGAAGGGTACGAAAAAGAATAGGAAAGAAAAAGCAAAAAGGGAGAGAAAGAAGAGGAAGGGTTAGGGGAGACCCCACCACTCAGGACTCACCCAGGCTCTCCTGGCACCAAGCTAGACTATGCTCCTGGACAGTTGTAATCTCTTATGCATTCCCTGAGCAAGAAAGAGGCTTGACTGGAATCTGAGTAAGCAAACCGGCCTTAGAGTCCCAGAACAACAGCTGGGAAGAACAGGCCTCCATCAAGACTCAGTCTACAGCACCACAGTCCACTGTGAACAGAGGCCCAAGTAAACAGCAGGGCGGAAATCGAGTGGACAGACTTAGGATGACACATTGTCCAAGTCCTGTGCTAAGGTCATGCTATGCTCTAACTACTTATTATTTAAAAATATCTTTTCACTGCTCAGTCCCTCAGACAAGAAACAACATAGGAATATGAATCAACACCCAAACATGGCATTGAAAAACCGGATCACAGTCCAAGTTGTATATTACAGCAACTTGCTGCCTTTGATATTTAAGATCCAAGTTTTTCAAAATACATTGAAGATTTCACACTTCCAAACAGCTCATACAGAAGCATGAAAAATGCACTTCCTCCGAGCCAGTGAGGACTGGTCAAAAGGCAGCCATGTCCCCATCTCTTCCTAACTACTTGCTGAGGGTGCTCACCTCTTCCCACAGCTCTATGGTAACTACAGCCACACACATCTTTTAAAGAAGAAACACCAGCCTTGCCTTCAAACACCTGTCATTACAGAAGATGAAACCCAAACTCGCTCTTTTGGGAAGGAAGACCATGATTTGGGCACAATGCCCAATTTCCTGAGTTAAAGCCACCAGTGTAGCAAAACTGGATATTCTTAGGAAGTTTATCAAGAAATGTTTAAGCAAACAAGAGCAAGAGATGGTTCTCCAGTGTTGGTGAGGGCTCAAGAAGCATTTTGTAAAACAAAACAAAAAACTTTTAAAATAAAATATTTTAAAGTCAAAGATGTACTAAATAAATCCATGATACTCAGGTGTGAATATCAGCTTGAGTAAGGCACCCTCTGAGACTCACTAAATTCCCACAGCCCACAGCTAAGTACTGTCCTGACAGCTCAGACTGGGTGCCCCACTCAGAGGTCAGAAAGAGTGTATAATCCACTTGTAAACAATGAGCTGATAGGAG